GACTATTTATACTACACAACTTTTGCCTAAAACTGTCCAATGCAACCTGCTTACAACTTGAGTTGTACTGTGTAAATCAACTCGTTTACGACAATGTATAAGCGAGTTGTGCGCTTGATTGACACAGTATACATCTCAAGTAATTGTAAGCAGGTTGCATGCGACAGTTTTAGTTTTAGACAATAGTAATGTAGTCTAAATCAGCCTTTAAGTTATCATGTTTTTACATTATTAAGTTGCGACATAACAGGTCTTTAACCAGCCTTGTTAGGGAGGTTTGATTGTTGAATAAGTCGTTTATACTATTGTCTATTCTGGTTAAAGCCCCATTGGCAGTCACACATTGTTACGGCGGACATTTCACGCTTTATATATTAACAAAATTATTTGTTTTATTTTTATTTACGTCATTCAATGCATGACTGACTGGTCATCCATACAGGGAATTCACGTTAATTGTAGCTATTGTAATGAGACTTGACCCCCATTGCGAGCCCCATTGCTTTTTCTCACGATATATGGACAAAAATGAAAATATAAAGCATTTACTGGGTAACAAATTGGAATCTGTTTAGAAACTATTTAAGAATTAAACTTAAATCAAACACAGGTTCTTGTTAAAAACACATGTTACAAACATTGCAGACTTGAAAATGGAAGTGAGGTAGATCGAGCTTTGAGATCAGACGTTTTAGAGAGTTCCGTAAATTATTCAACTGATATAATATTTAAGACATGAATTTCTAAGATATAGTCCTGTTTGTGTTTTAACAAAAAGTTATATAGTTGCTGACTTCATATAACAGTTTATATCGCGATTAATAATTTTTCATATCACTTATCATGTATATTAGTCAATATATAGTATATATAGTTTGATATTTAAAGATTATACCTGTATTAAACCAATACGTTTGCTGCAGCCGAGACAATTGTTTGCTTCAATCCTGGACTCAAAATAACCCAAAAATTTTGAAACTATATATCCTTCTGAAAATCCCGACTTGTTTCTTTTGGTCGTGAAACGTTGTTGTTATGTTGTTGAATGTATAGTCGTCTGTTGAAGACAAGGAACGGTGATCATGCTGTGCATGTTGCGTACCTTTTTTGTGTTATAGACATAATTATCTTATGCAGTCACAAAGGAATGTTAATTTACAGATCACTACAGTGGGTGATTGTAATTTTGTTCAATATTAAAGGATACCAAATGTTTTCCGTGCAAGATTGCGTGATCCATGCACGAGGGATGTCGCGAGACTTTCGGAAAGCGTAAAAATACTCGAGCCGCAGGCGAGTGTATTTTTACGCTTTCTGAAAGTCGAGCAACATCCCAAGTGCATGGATCACGCTATCCTGCTGGGAAAACCATTTGGTAATTGTTTTATAAAATAACTACAATGAAACAGTGACATTTTGAGAATCCCGCGAAAATCCCGCGAAGGCATTTTAGTTCCTCGTGCAGGATAGCCCGATCCTGCACGGCTATTGACCAATCAAATTGCCCGTTTCACTGTAGTTATTATATAAAGTGTAATCTCTATATATAGTCCACTATATTTCACCGTCTTCACTTCTTTGCTGCATAGCTAAACACTTCATAAACAAATGTGCTTAATATATGAAAGCTATACATGATACAACATCTTGCTTTTTACATATTTTACGGTATGGCCTTGTGAATAATGTATATCATATACTGTACTTCATACTCATACCTGTCAATAATGAACCTAACCATGTCGATTAATATGCAAATGTCCACGCACATCATATTCCTGCCAGTGCCCACTACATATACAATATTTCATGGTATGGTCTACTTTCCGGACCCAGCTGTGTAAGGATTGGCAATCTATGAAATCCAGCAACTTACGTTCAAGGTGCTATTACTTATCTCTAAATTACAGTATAGCAAGAGACAGAGACATTCTATATCTAGACGATACGATTGCACACACGAAATAATTGCATTATAGCTATTGCAGCTTTACGCCATTTCACTTTTGTGACTATATTAAGTTAGGAATATCCGAAAAAATCGCGAAGAATTTTATATAATTTCTGCACATTTCTGATTCAAGTCCGTCATCCTGAATTTTGAGTAAAAATTATCTAAACGTCTCACATAACATACACACATCTAAACAAGTAAGTAATTCAAAATCAAACTTGTTTAGACAAAGAACAAGATATAGCTACCATTGAACATTTT